GGAAACTACAATAACACCATTTCACAGGCATTTGCTTTTCAATGTCAATGTGGCAAAAACGAAAAACAAAACACAACACGAAAACACTATTCTCTTTAATCCAACCTATATTTCTCTGAACCTGCCTGAGAGTCTGACACATCCATTTATACAAAAGAAACACACAATTGGTCACAGGATGAAAAAGAATAGTTCTTAACTTTTTAGAGAAAAAACTCAAGAAGCCAAATCGATTCCATAGGACTTCTCAACACTGCTTTTGTGCTACATACACTGGATTCATTAGATGAGCCAAGAAACCTCACAGAGTGTACTAGGCACTGGCATGACACCCTGCATACAATGAAGCTCGTAATGGTGGACTAGAAAACATAAGAGGAAGTTTGGATGGGCAAGTGCAAAGATGGGTAACTAACCTCAGAGCATCCCTTCATTTATGTATTAAAATAACTCACAGCTTATACTTCTAAGTAATAATAAAAATAATAATGACAGAATAATACCTCCAAATGAGCAGAGGATTCTGCATCTTCCTCTATTCCTAAGTTGAAAGCTGATATGCCATCTATAAAATGAAATTAAAGATACATGAATGAGAATATTTACCAATGTAAATTTTAAATACACATATGCATCTAATGTCGTTAACAGATATCTCTATAAAGTAGCAGAAAAGAATTTAAAAAACTTGGAGCATTTTCTGAAAGAAAACATGCGTGTGGTTCGGATATATATGAAGACAGGTGGCAAAAGCTAAACGTTCCACGGGTAATGGATATTGTGTTTTGGATCTACACACTTCGCATGTTCAATACGAGCCATTTTTTCCCTAAATGGAGGCACTGAGCGTTGAACCCAGAACCTCCTGCGTGCTAAGCACGCGTTCCATGTACCACTGAGCTATACATACATTCCCCCCCGAAAATGAGCTCCTGGGCAGGCAGTTCGTTCAAACAGCAAAAGCACGCAACTCGATACATGTTCACTGACTTACCGCACACGTCAGTTTCGTGGGCTCCGTCAACAAACGTCAATGTGTTATGATCCGTCAGTTCCTCTGGGGCCATTACGGTAGTCTCAGGAACACCTTCTGGTGCCTCAATCGCTATCTCAATCGCCCCGTCCTAGGGAAACAAAAGAAAACAAGAACCGAACTTCAGAAACCGTCATGTTCATATATGTGGTCACTCAATCACTAAGACGACGGTTACTTCCTGTATCTATCAGGTCATTAGCACTATCCTGGAGAAGCCGCCAATACAAATAAGAGAGATTCGGTGCTCTACGCTGCCAGAGGCACAGGTCCACGAAAACGAATCACCACAGGAAAGTCTGAACAGCTCTACAACTGAAGTCAATGGACCATGTCAGGGCACAAAGGACAGGAGAGTCTGTTGCACGTCCATAGCTCAGAGAATGCCGGGAAGACTGCACAGTGCCTCAAAAGACAGCCCCAGTGCGGGGGGTGTGGGGGAGCGGGATGTGAATGGAATGTTTGGAAGGGGTAGTCTGATGAACAGGTTGAGGCGGAAAACAACATCATAAATTATAAGGGAAACCCAATACCCGAGAGTGAACAAGAGACATCATTTGATTAATTTCAAATGCGGATTGCTAAAAAAGAGGATAGAAAACAACCTCACTTTCATAGTAAACTCTCTATATTCAATACCCTATAACAAAGTGTAACGGAAAGTAATTTGAAAATAGAATTTACAGACACTGATTTGTTAGGTGAGTGCGAGACATGAATAGATGTTCATTTTGCAGTCCTATTACATTAAGCACAGAACAACTTTTTAATTATAGTTTAAAATAAAGTTAAAATATTCATTGTTAAATGCTAACAATAATGCAAAGTGAATACAACCAGTGGTTATCTTGAAGCATTCTCAGATGATTATATATTAAAATAAGAAGAATATCAACAAATGAAGATAGTACCTTCTTATCAGAAGATTCTTTGTCTTTTCCAAATTTGTAGATTGACATCCCAACTGTAAAATATAGTTACAAATATATTAATAAGACTATTACCAGTGTAAATTTTAAACACCCATGTTCATCTATCTCCATCCATGGATATTTCAATTTAAAAACGTGGTTGAAAGAATTTTAGAGATTTAAGGCATTTTACAAAATAAATGGTTAGTTATGGTTCAGATATTTTTGAAGACAGTTGGGAAAAAAAATCACGTAAAACTAATTAATATGATATTTGGAACTGCATAATTTATATTCTTGTTATTTGAAATTTTTTGTTAAATTTTTTTTAAATGGAGGTCCTGGAGATTTAAACCAGGAATTCCTGCTTACTAAGCATGCATCCCATCTACCAATGAGCTGTGTGCCCTTCCCTGCTGCACACTACCTTCTAAGCAGAGAGAAAACTAAAACTAAAAAACTCCTTCCCTGCTCACCATCCTACTGAAGATGTTTGCTGAAGCAGAACAAAACTTTTGAGCCTTCTTTCACTATCTGACACTATTTCTTACATCAGAACATGGGGGAGACAGGTCTACTATCACCTGAGGAAGCGACCACAAGCCACTGGTTCAGATGTTTTCCTAACTAATGGTCAGC